ACACACACACACACACACACACACACACACACACATATCTCCATGTGTTGTCCAGTAGAAAGACAAAGAGTTGGGAAATTTGGGTTCTGTAGTGGGCTTTGTCACCATGAGTTAGCCATATGACATAGAGAATATTATTTACTCTCTCTAGCCTGTAGTTACCTCATGTTTGAAATAAGGAGATTTGGAATGGTAATATCTAACACTTGTTCTTAACTTGTAAATGTTATTTACTAAACATTTCTCTTTAGATAGCATTGTCCTAAGTGTCATACTAAATGAATTCAATAGCATTTGACTTAGAAATTAATAATTTATAGCTGCTTCTTTTCACTAAGCCTGATACAATATTCTACAGTGCACATGGTTTCCCCTTATTTATGAAGAAAAACTCCACCATTTACCAGCAGTTACTAAAAACATTTTAACTACACACTTCTGTGGATAAGAATGATTGAACACACAATAGCATGTATGCATACTTTATTATTTATAAATTATGTATTAATATATTACTTTTTACATTATGAAGATAAGATAAAATAATAGAAATAGGAATTTTATATTTTCCCATATCTCAATACATAGGCTCTGCATCTTCATGGACACCATGGTTATATGACTTGTGACTTTATTAATTCATATTTTATCTAAAAGCTTTCTTTATTGTGCTTATTACAGTTAAAGATGCCAGGAGAGGACATCTTTAATTCTCTAAACAAATATTATTAAAATGCCCATGACACATTTTCCAAACAGGCAAGATTTTATTTTAACTAGTATTTGTTTTTCCTTTATTGAAGCAAAGAGAGTACACAGGGGAGACACAGAGAGAGCACAAGAGCTGTCAGCACAGAGCCTGATGCAGCGCTCAATTTCACAAACCATGAGATCATTACCTGAGCCAAAACCAAAAGTCAGATGCTTAACCAACTGAACCACCCAAGAGCCCCTGTTTTTTTTTTTTAAAGCACCTTCCAAAAGATGTGTTTCTTCTCTTATGATTGCCTCAAATAAATGATTTCAGTTTGTTATTACTCATAGAACATATTGAAATTGAGATGTTAAAATGAGATTGAGATATAACTTTCATTGGAAAATTATTAGAAATGTTAAGATACATCTTGAGATAAATGAAATAGTAGGGTCTGAGGATAAAGCTAGAAGCTAATGAAATCAAGCAAAATTATAATTGGAGGAAGATGTGTGCATTTTGGGGGAAAGAAATAGGAGAAGAAAGCTGAAAGATTATTTTATTTTTTCTATTATATATATATGTGCATATATACACAGACACACACATACACACATATATACACATATACATGTATGTACATGTATATATACATGTATATACATACATGTATATGTATATGTGCATATATATGTATTATGTATATATGTGTGTGTATATATGTATGTGTGTGTATTATATATATATATATATATATATATATATATATATATATATATATATATATATATATATATATATATATATATATACTATTTATCATCACCATAGTTTACTTTGGCACATTTGACTCAGAAAGCCTCATGGTCTCTCTTATTTATTTATAAATTTTAAAAATGCAAAAGGCATTTTTAGTGTCCTTCACACTCCTGTCCCCCAACCACTCAGTTTCCCTTCCTTAACATAGCCAGTCTTATGAGCTTCTTGTGTATCTTTTCAGAGATGTCAGTATGTATGTGTATATTCTTTCCTCCAGTGACTTTGGGGGTCATTCCATATCAGTTAATATGTGAAGAGCTTTATGCATTTGTGGCTCTGTAGTATTCCCCTGTAGGCCTGTACTGTACAGAATTTGATAGGTCTCATATTGATGGACATTAATAGGCTGCTTCTACTCTTTTGGTACTACAAATAGTGTCACAGTAAATAACTTGCACATATATCATATCACAAACATATGAGTATATCTTAGAATATATTTCAAAAGGATAAAGTATTTATAAACTTGATGGATATTACCAAATTGCCCTTCACAGAAGATGTACAAATTTACACTCTTACCAACAAGTATGAGATCTGTTTATCTATTCTAATTCTCACAAACAGTGAATTATATAACTTTGATCTCTGCCAGTGTGATAGGTAAAAGTGGTTTAATTTTCTTTTTCTTGTTATTAGCTCCTTAATATATGTTTAAGTGCAATCCATACTTCCTTTTCTGAGAATTGTCCATATTTTTGCCCATTATTTTCATCGGACTGCCTTATTCTCATTAACTTCTAAGAACTCCTTATCCATTAGACAGATTAACTATGTCGGTGATATAAGTTAGTATTTTTCCCTCCCAATTTGGTATTTGCCTTTTAATTTCACTTGTACTTTTTATCATTAATATTTTTAAAACATTTAATTGAATTTAACAATCTTCCTTTTTATAGCTTCTGAGTTTCGTGTCATAATTAGAAAGGCCTACTTTCTATGCTTTCCCCTGGTATTTTGATCTTTTTAAAAAACACTTAAAATTTTAATACAACTGGCATTTCTCCTACAATTAGGTGTTAGAAATGGAGTCAGATTTTTCTTCCTTTTCTTTTCTCCAATTCATTTTTCTCAATACTATTTATTTATTTATTTATTTTAAAAAAATTTTTTTTTTCAACGTTTATTTATTTTTGGGACAGAGAGAGACAGAGCATGAAGGGGGGAGGGGCAGAGAGAGAGGAAGACACAGAATCGGAAACAGGCTCCAGGCTCGGAGCCATCAGCCCAGAGCCTGACGCGGGGCTCGAACTCACGGACCGCGAGATCGTGACCTGGCTGAAGTCAGATGCTTAACCGA